GAAGCTACTAATAGGTAAGCAAGAAATTTATATTTTACTATTCCACATAAGCCAGATAGTCGGGGGCTTAGAAAGTGAAAGTTTATTTTCCTAAATTGCAGGACAAAACAAGATTCATTTTTAATTTGCAAAGTAATACAGAAACTCCTCTACCAGCAAAAAAACGTAACTTCAGTTAGAGCTTCTTTATCCTTAAGAAAGTAAAAATCAATTTTTTTAAATGTAAAAAATCTGGTTTTTCATTTGTTCTATTGAAAGCTGGTGAATTTGTTTATTAAAAACTAAAGCTCTCATGCGAATGAGTTTAACTGGATGCAACATTACCTAGGTAATTGGAATTCCTTAGTTATGAAAATTATGCTTGCCAAACAGAATTAACTAAATTCCTTTAAATTTCAGGTATTATCTTTAAAAAATATATTAACTTTACCTTACCGTCTCTTATTTCTCTGTTGCTCAGCCATCTGTTCTATTAATTCTTGCCTGTATTTTTCTTTTTTCCTTTGGAGAAGTTCTCGGTCCTGACCACCTAATGGAAACGACCACACATTTGTGTAAATAGTCCACAAAATACACAAAAGGTACCAGACAAAAACATCACAGTTCAGCCAATTTAAAATACGAAACACAGGAAAGAATACAATCTGGGAATATGCATAAAAACACTGAATCTTTACTGACTAAAAAAAATAAATAAAATTAAAATCCAGTTTTAATACTCAGTTTATTTGGACTACAATGATGAAAACTAATAAAATTTCCATTTTCTTTTTCCTAGTTTGTTTTCATATAGTCAGGAAGCTATGAACTTCAAAGCTACATGAACAGTATTTCTCTCCACTGTGCTCGCTAATAATGTTCCTTTCTAAATTTTGTGGCTCCATTTAAGCAGTGAGAGATGATCAGAATAACTTCTTCTCGCACAAGGTTGTGAACAGCAGCATTTCTCATATTTCTGCAATTAAAAGTCTTTATCAAGATGTATCTATAATGATAGAAGTTAATATTTCTCCTATACTTCATTTCTTAAAAAACTAAAGAATGTATCTGGGCCCTGAATTGTTAATGAAATCTAAGAAGAAACTTGGGGTCTTCAAAATTAGACAGCACTGCTAAAGGGGAAAAGGAACGTGTTCTTTCTTTTATTTTCTCTATGTAAATAATAATTTTTCACTGGTCTTAGGGACAACTAGCACAAAGAAAAGGCTAATTTTTCTAGGTTTTAATTATTCTCAAAGAAAAATAAAATGTGCAAAGCAAGGCTAGCTCAGTGTCATTGGTTGGGTTTTTATACATACCAAGAAAAAGGCCTGTTGCATGAGGCATTTCAGCTGCAGACTTGGCCTGTTCGTTAGCTGAAGAACTAATTTGCACCTGATTTCTGACAAAGAAGAGAACGGAAAGATCAAACTCAAGAATTTATTTGCAGTCTGTGTGAAACATGACAGATGCACACACACCTCACTTTGTGAAACATTTATGACAAACAGCTTTCCTAAAACCCAAAGAAGCATCGCAAGCAAAAGGAGAAACTGCCCGGCAAAAAGGCATTTCTCACAGTTGTCATTTGCCTGCAGCTTCCGAAGCCATCAGGAACACGGACTCAGCTGAGCACGTCAACAGCGCGGACAGACTGCGCGGTGCCAGCCAAAGAGTTTCTGTAAGGGCTTGACAAGTGTTCTGCTCCTGCCTCACTCACGCAGATCACTTTGGCACTTCTATCACTACCATCCAAGTTTTATAACTACCATCCAAAAAAAGCGTTCCATGTTATTCTAATCGTTAAAAGTCTTCAACTGGAGAATAGGTGATCTAACACCTGTAAAGAAAATGGGCATGCAAGCTTCAATAGCTGTTCTTTCTTCTTCTACCATATCCCAGCTGCAGGAAAAACTATCACCCATATCAGACAATATATTAGGGATTTTAACAAGAATTCACCTTTCGTAATGGTTTTGTAGTGAAATTAGCAGAAAAATACATTGTATACCACACCTAGAGTTTCCAGTTCTTGAGATCTGCTGTACATGTGCTCTCTCCTTTAAGTCATCTTCATCAGCTGCAGGCAGATCTTTTACTAGTCCATCCAGAAAGGGCCTTTAAGAAATACAAAATATTCAGCTATGCTTGCCTAAAAACATTCAATCTAAAATGGAAAGTCCCACCGTTTCGTGCAAATGGATCCTCCACCTGATTGCACAGTAGATGGCAGAAGCAGTTCTGAAAATACTGCACAAAATTTCTAGAAATAATGCCCTTTTCTAGCAGTGAGGGCAGCTCTCTGTCTGGAGCTTGAATTCCCAAGCCTGCTTTCATGCAACCTTTTATCTGCTGAGCCTGGTTAAGTTTTGAGAGCTGAAGAGCATTCAGCATTCACACTGAATTAATTAAAACAGATCTTGCTGCTCTTAATCGCCAGGAGCTGAAAAAGTCTACAACAGATTTCAGCGCACAGCTGTTGGGCACAATAATTCCAACAGGGAAAAGCTTCTTTGACAACCTACCCTTCACTATGCACCTGATACCATTTAAAAGAGAGGTAACTTTTGATCAGGATAAAAGACAGTGAGTATGAAAATTCAGAAGCTAAAATCTGAATCATCTACATACGAAATAACAGAATTGAAATTTCAAATAATTCTAAAGATGCCAAAAATTTTATGGGCACAAGAGAATCTTTGCTGAAAAGACCTAGGGTAGCTGAATTTACAGGTTTTGCTCACCTGGCAAATTAAGTACTCTTTAACGAGAAGTTCGAGTTACCTTGATAAAACAAGGCAAGAATAGGTATTCAATGAAAAATAAAGCACCCAATAGATGCTAACAAAGTTACATATTTTCCAGAGCTGGACAGAGTCATGGACCTCTTATTAAGCAAACCAAAAGTACTAGGTAAACATAGAAAAAAAACCACCTTACTCTTTTGCGTAAACAGATCCACAGCTCTGCCCCTCTCTTTAATTTAAATAAAAGCCAATAATCAAAGGCAGAAGGATGCAAGCAAATTATTAAACATTGATTTGGCATCTTAACAACCCACAAGAACAACAAACATGAAAGAATGACATCCATCCTCTTGGCATAACAAGATCTTCTTTCATGATCAAGATCATCTCTTTGATAAATGATCAATCTGCTACTTACAAGGCTGGTCACATAAGACTGAAACACAGAAAGAGAAAGCCTAGTCCATAGTGTGAGGAAAGGATGCAGGGAGAAAGCAAAGAAACAAAGCTCAGAATTCAAGAGGCAACTGTTTTCGTAAAAAATAGCAAGCTTAGCATGGCAGGCCCAGACACGTTGGCCCAATTCAATCAAGAAGCTGTTGTACTCTGTTTATAGGACAGGCCTGGCTGATGGATTAAAGTATTCCACTCCTAAGAACCAAAATGTTTTGTTTTTCCTCTCACTTTCCTGTCACCCTCTCTGTTTGCTGAAACATGCCACAGGGCCTGTGCCTCCGTCAAAACAGACACCTTGGTGAACAGTCCCATTACAAACACCTGCCTCTCCAAACTAATAAAGTCCATTTAAAAACATAACGACTTTAGTACAGCAAATAAAAATATTCCTCCTTTTGAATTCAGTTTCTGTCGCAAATCTGGAAAGGCTGAGTTCGCCTGAAATGTAGAAAAAAAATGCTAACTCTTCAGAAGCTGAGCTGTCAGTAACTAATACATGTGTTTCTCCTTCTTGAAGAGAGAGGGAATATAGTCCATTAAAGATTAAGTGGAGCTCCTTTCGAAGGAGGAAAAAAAGTACTAAATTGCAAAGCACATATAATGAAAAAGAGAAAAAAAAATCCATAAAAATTCACCAAAGTGGAAAATGCACACAAAACCTCAAAACTTGATGTTATTTACGAATTTAAGCTCAGGCAATTCAGGTGATGGTCCAGCAACTTCTTTTTAAGAAGATGCGTAAAGTTTGCCAATAACAAAGATAAGACTATCTTCTGTACTTTCTTTTAAAATGAAACTAGAATTAAAACCATTTCACAGGCCTTTCCGAATAAGTGAATTACATACTGATATATTGTTCAGACATTTATATAAGAACCATCAGTGTTTTCTGGAATAACTAAGAACTAGTATACATCTATTCAACATGAAACTGTCTATTGTTGGTTCAAACACCATCCTTGCTGATATTTTACATATTTAATTCTGTATATATTCTTTGGGTAACAAAAGTAAACCCCCAAGCATTATCAAATGCTCTTTTTTTAAAAAAAAAATTAGACTCTGTGTCCAATTGCACTAGGCAGTGGCAAACAGCTACCTAGTACAAAAAGAACATTCATCTTTCTGGGTTTTATTAACACAGAGCACTAACATTGCTGTTAGTCTCAGAAATATAGACATTTTGGTTATCTTTGTTAGACCTCAAGTCAAATTTCTAATACTCTCCTTTCTGAAAAGTTGTAGGACAAGAAGACCCTACCTTAAAACTTACTCTGCTCATTTCTACCAGTATTACAAAATAGGATGGAACAATTTTTGTATTTAGCGTTCTCTTCTCCAAATCTCACTCGGCAGAAAATGGGCAATCTTGCTCCTGCTATCTCCTGAACCGTTTGTTAGCCTTTTCCTAAAACATTGCATGACTAAACACATGCTTTCAGAAGCACATCTGAACACGCAATCTGAAATTCTGAAATAACCCATTTATTTAGTCTGCATATTCCAAGAGCTTCTAGACATTTCATTTTCTCTATAGTTACTTAATTCCTTTACTCTTTTTTTAAGAAGGCTGAGAAAGATTATCAAAACCTTTTTTTTAGTGAAGCTATTTTAACTCTACTGGCATTTGAAACTGGAAAAGAAGCACAGCGTCCTTCAATTCAGAAAACACTTTTGCAGAGAAGAGCATTTTAGGGATTGTTTTTCCCAGTTATTAAGTTGCAGTACTATCCAGAAAATTATCCCTGTAAACAATGACTCAGAAGATCATTTAACCAGTACCCCAGTAATTAACAACAACACAAGATTATAATATGTAACACTGTTGACAGTGGTAAAATTTGCATTCTGTTTTTCTAAACTGTTATTTCAAGAAAAAAAAAAAGTGGTTAAAGAGAAAGACAGTGAAGCATCAACAACACTCACATTCCCAAGATCTCCAAAATGAACAAATCAACACTTTGCTCAAGTACCTCCTTAAAATCTATTTACAAGAAGCTTTACTGCTTTATTTCATTTGAATGTAGCTGTATAAAACACATCTGTTTCAAGTTTGGTACTATTTCACACCAAAACCCATGTGCTTTGGAAAGCAACTGGTTTTTGCAACGGAGTAACCAAAGACAGCCAGACTGCCAAACCCTGAACGATTAGGGCAGACATGCCTTTCCCCCTCACCCCACCCCCATTTTAAATGAGTGAGCTAGAAGAGAAGGATTAACAATTTAAGTCAAAGTAACCAAATTGATTTATCAGTTGACACAGTAGAGAGTATTCAATAAAGAACAGTACATAATATCAGTTTTCCTCCTCAATGGTTTATCTAAGACACCCTCTTTGGCTTGGTTTGGGTTTTATTAAATGTTTATTCAAATTTTGTAGTTATTACCAAGATCAGTGCCTATTAACACTATCAAGATTTGGTTCAGCTATGAGTATGTTTAAAGTCTGCCATTTAGCAAGGCATGCAGTAAAAAACAGAATTTTGTTTAAAATGTATTTTCACATTTTTAACAGGTACTAGCAAAAATTGAAGCTCAAATCAATTTTGGAAACTCAACTAAAAATTTACTTGCTACAACTATTAGAAAAAACATGTAATCTTCTGTTCTCAGCACAGGGGTTTGTTCTCTAACAGGTTTTCTGGCAAACCACTCTTCGTGAGAATGAAATATGTGCTTCTTTATCTGGGGTAATTTCTCTAATATCCTTGGTTGGACATAATACATAAAATGCTGCCTAATGTATGCTGTATAATCCTAGGTACTAATCCAATTTAAAAATATTTTTTCTAAAAATTATTACAAAGTTTCTTTTTAAAGTACAAAAATGCTGCTTTCACATGTAATTCTCATCCAATCGTCAATGAGAGCAAACCACAGCTGTCAACAAGCACTGCAGAAATAAAGGAGAAAATGGAATTAAGAATACCTTTCAGCATAAAAACCCCGAGGAGTTTTTCTGTTATAAGCGCTTTCACATCTAAACCTAGGGTCCATTTCTTCACTTATTTCAGGTTCATAGTCCATTCTGTAGTATCTTCTACCAAAATCACAATCCTCAGCAAATCCATGATGCTTCCTAATAGGAATTACTGCTTGGCTAGCAAATCCACGATGTCTTCGATTGGGAACATCCAAATCATCATCAAGTCTTCTATTTAACAGCCGACTTCTTAATTCAACCTCATCATCTAACCTATGATACCTGTCTTCCTCCAGCCATCTCTTATTTTGCAGCTCTTCATAACCTTCTGTAGAAGTAAAGGCATCCCTCTTGGGAGGTTCTGCACCTGTATTATGGGGCTGCACTTCTGCATGTTGTTCTGGCTGATGCCTAGTAACAGCAATAGGTTTTTTATCGGTGACCATCTCATTCTGTGTAATAGAAAAAAAAAAATATTAAAAGATCTGAATGTAAATAAATCACACTGGGCAATAACTCTGGTACTGGAGAAAAGGCAGGTGGTGAGCCAAAAAAATACTTCAAGGAGGGTTTAAAAGCTAGGGGTATTTTTTTTATTCCTTGAAGGGAAAAAAAAACCAAAACACCACCACTCTTCCTCTTATCTATCTTTTTCCAAAGGAATTGCTATCAATCCTGGATGGGCCATTTATGAACTCCAGTTTGACCTTCAGATTCAGAGGTTCAAAGAATCAAAAACCACTTTGAACTTTATACCTCCACCAAGAGACTGGATATCTTTATTCTCTCCAGACTCAGACAAGTCTGTAATACTTCTTAACTGTAAGCACAACCCTTTAACCTGACCATTTCTTAATCTATTCCTTGGCTCCTCAGGAAATGTTGCTAGGAGATAACAATCCAGGATCTCGCTTCACATACATCCTTCACAAACATCCTTCTACCAGACAGACATGACTGAAGCAGTTAACAACAACTCTACTGTATGACTGTAGGACTCGTAACCAGGACTTGCTACATATATTAATAAAACTGTGGCCTAACTGAATGACATTCCTTGCCTATTTTGTCTTACTTTGTATGCCTTAATCAGTGACAAAACAATTGACAAGATCATTTATGTTGTTCTTTATACCATCTTCAGTGAAACTGCATTACCTCTCTGTTTTTCTTCCCTAAATTCCTTAGCCTTTCATTCCATTCTTCTTTTTCCCTGAGATATTGATTGTACTCCTTGTTTCTTTCAAGTCGTAGTTTCTCCTAAAAGAGGTATTGAAAAGGGCATCACAATTTTGGAACTGCAGTATTAAATGAATACACGTGAGCTGTGTTGGCTCAAATTGAAGTCGAGTCCCCAGTAACATTACTGTATAACAAGTTCCATCTTAAAACCAGTTAAGTTACCTCCTGCTAAATCTATTCCAAAATTGTTCCAAAGCTTCATTCCTCCGACAATTAAAATTTATCTTCTAATTTCCAATCCGAATGTATTTACAGATGATTTTTAAACATACAGATTTTGTGTGTGTTAAGGTTAGTCGCGACTTACCCACTAATAATTAAAACAGGACAACAAATACATATATAGACAAGATGTGTCAATTACAGCTGAGGATATAACTTGAACTGTCAAATTCAAAAGAGAAGTTGAACTGACTGCAAAAAAAAAAGCCAAAAGCACAAAGAATGCAAGGAAAACTAACGAAAACATGATCTACCCACTTTGTCCTAGCTGCTTTTTCAAGATGACAATATTTGTAATCAGTTTTCCCAGGTCTAAAAATGTGCTGGAACAGTGCATCAAGAGCTGAATAATATAACAGGAAATATAAAAGTCTCCAGGTAAAGTAAACTCTAATTTGCATTATTTCCTTATGTTTAAAGCATGGGGCACTGCCTTATTCCAAATATCATAGAAATTCAAAGAAAAAAAATTTACAATATCAAAAATCATGTTCTCCACTGCGGTATTTTCCAATAATAAAAGCAAAAGGTATTAAAAAATCTGAATATTATATACAAATTTACTTTCCCACAAACAAATCTCAAACAAAAGTATTTTATAACTCAATCACCATGGAAAAACCAGCTTAGTAATAGTTTTACAAAATAGACCAATGCTCGCAAAAACTGTTGGGCGCTTTTTTTTGCCCATTGCATCTGTAGGTTTTCTGACAGCAATATAAAACCTGCAGACAGTTATGAAAGCTGCCTGAGGGGCACTTTTCAAAGCTGATAAACTAGCATTGTCTTTAATCGGTGGCAAAACACTCAGTAGAAAATTCAATATGCTAGGTGACTGCACATTTTACCTAACAGAGGAAATCAAAATGCACATGTTAACCTCTAATCATTCTCTGCCCAGAGGCTAACCGTTTCACAGGGCACAGTGTGACATCTCCTGGCAGCTTTTAGGTTCTGCAATAGCAATAAATAAATGGGTAAAAACGACAGAATGCACTTGCTCAGAAAAATCTCAATGAATGGTGAGCTACTATGACATAAACCCATCAATTCTGAGACACGTTCCCAGACCAGATACGTTTTTAATTTCCACAGAATTAATCCAAGGTACTTTATATTTCACTGTTTCAGCACACACACTCACAGTGGTTAACACAGAATTCATGAGAACTTGAAGCTAACAAACTCAGCACAAATGCACGCTGCCACCCAGGAGTTCTTTGCCCTTCCTAGGTGTTTCATTCTTGCCACCTCTCCTTTTTTAAAACACTAGTATAATTTGGAGTTTCAGTGTTTTTCATAACAGCAATATTCACTTAAATTGAGGGTTGGACCAGATCATCTTCTGAGGTACCTTCCAAGCCCTAACATTCTGTGATTCTAACGTTCTGTGAAATTTCAGGTCTCAGCTGGCCCCTCATATGGCCAAACATTATTGCCAGCACAAGGCAGGCAGAAAACTTAGCTAAGTACAGCAAGGGCAAGGCCAACACATCCCACTGCAGAAGTCTTGCGACAGATTTTAGCGACAGCGTAGCCTCAGACACAGAGCAACAATGCAACTCCAAGGCAACACAGGTCAAAGAAAAAAAATAAAATAAAAAATAAATAAAAACCCCGGGAGTGCAACAGTTCAGTGCTCCTCCAGCAACAAAATTTCTCTTTCCCCCTTGCATGTGCGCTGAGGTTTGACCAATCTTAACAACCACCCAGTGGTGTTCATTGAATCAGCAAAAATACTTGATAAATCACAATGTTCATGCTAATTCAACTTCCTGCAGCAAGCACAAAAAAGGAACTCGGAATACAAGGCCATCAAGTGTGAGGGCAGGAGGAGAAGCAACCCCTCTAAGACTGATTTAGGCTTTCACAGAATCATACTATGCATCAGAGAAATAGATCAGAGGTTAAGAAAATCCACATGTGCATGTTGCATCTACATATTCTAACCTCCATGGACTTCCAAGAGCAGAGAGGCTGTTATGGCTGGCATCTTTCTCCAACACAGGAAAGCAAGAGCATAAACTGTTAAGAAAACTCAAGGAGATCAAAGGGGCCAAATGCAGAGAGAGGTGTACTCCTTTCAGAAAACATGTTAGTATCTGTACTCTCAAAGAAAGATTGGAAATCGAGAAGACTCTTGTAAGAACAACGGACAATAACGTGAAATACCAGTTTTTATTTAGATTCCTGGATTTATCTGTTCAAAAAAGTCACATGAGCGTAAGCAGGTAGGTTAAGTGTACGCAAAGACACGGAAACAAACTGCACGGGGCAGAAAGCAGCTTCTGATAGAACCTGCTAAGAATATCCCTGTAGAAACAATTGCCGAAGCAAGTATTTTTCAAAATATCCCCAGGCTGCAGTAAGAGAAGTAATGAATTAGAAAAGTATATATATAATTATAACAAAAGCAATGGTCTTTATTAGATCAGTCTTTATTGCTGAACAAAACCCAAGCACAACTACTAGAGCTTTTGAACTCAGGAAGTGCCCTGTAGGTGTGAATTAGATGCAGCAAACCTCAAATGTGTATCAGTATAGAATTATACATCTAACTATATAAAAATTAAGAATACAGATAATCACAGATTAAAAATTTAAAAATCAACAGCAAAATTTAAAGACTTTCTTTTTCTGAAAATTAATTAGAATGACCACCTCCAAAAACTGTAAACGGTGGGGGAAAAAATGCAACTACACAAAAAATATTAAGTGGAAAAAAGTTGTCCACAACAGTTTAAGCATCCAGGTTCATTTTCAAGTTATACATCACTCAATTTCCTCTAAATATATACCTTGGCAGATCTTCGCTCATCAATAGGAAGAGATAATCCCTGAGTATATGGATCTACTTCACCAGTAGTCAGATAATTTTTCTATGTTACAAAAAAAAAAATTAAACAATCATTCAATATATTTTACAATATAATTGCTAGATAGATGATAGAAAATATATTTTCTAGAATAAATGCAATCAATTTAATGAAATAAAGAATGAAGGCAATCTTGACATTTTGAAAATATAGGATGTTCTTGAAACAAATGAAGTGAAGGAATGCAGAAAGTAAAGGGCTGTCAAGCTTTAAGCTTAAGTCTGAAAGCATTTGTCACTTCTCTCTTACTCTATTTCAAGGATTACATAACTTAATTTCTGTATATTAAAAAATACATTTTTACTTTAAAAAAATCCTACCACTATGCAATTCTCACCTAAGCAAGTAGCATAACCACAAGCGTCTGTACAAGCATAAGAGGAATTTGATAGAATGGTTTGGGTTGGAAGGGACCTTAAAGATCATCTAGTTCCAACCCTCCTGCCATGTGCAGGGACACCGCCCACTGGAACAGGTTGCTTAAAGCCCCATCCAGCCTGGCCTTGAACACTGCCAGGGATCTGGCACCCACAACCTCTCAATCAATCCGTTCCAATGCCTCACCACCCTCACAGTAAAGAGCTTCTTCCTAACATCTAACTTACACTAATCCTCTTTCAATTTGAAACCGTTACCCTTCATCCTATCACTACACTCCTTGACAAAGAGTCCCTCCTGATCTTCCCTGTAGGCCCCCTCTAAGTACTGGAAGGCTGCTCTACTTTTCAAGACACTATCTTACTTAATATGAAAAATTATTTTTTCTAAACATCTTATTTTAACAGATGGAATCCATGCTAACATTGTCACAGTCACCACTCTGCATTTCAACACTAGCTGATCTCAACAACAGCAGCCCCCAAACTTTTCAGGATAATGACCCATCACCAAATCCTGTAATTCCTTAAGGATCATCAGTCACTTTCAGAAGAGACCTTTTCACTGAAAACCCTACGCTGTTGCTCCATGTAGCTCCCTGGGCTGCAGCCTGGGAACTGGGCTGCGCAGCAAGTCAAAAAGTATCAGCCTTTCAAATCAAACGCCAGTGCTGGAAGAGGTCCTTAGCTTCCAGGTCTAGTGGCTTTTCATACATCTCTCATTTAGTAAGAGCATCCCCAGGCCATCCTCAGTCAATCACCTTTGGTTTAGAAATCCCATTATCCTTAATAAAAAGATCACCTATTTGTGTGGTGTGGGCTGCTGAGGGGAATGGGTTGTGTGCGGTATTTCCCCAGCATTGTTTCCTTCCATGATCCATGTCATAACGTAGCTTAAGAGCTTAGGTAAAAGTTCTACCCGTTTCAGTGCAAAAGCATATAACTATAAATTATATTTCACAACTACACAGTAAGAGATTTAAGGGACTTAATAACCATGCAAATATTCAAGCACAGAGACAGCTAGATTAATATGAGCTAAGTTATTTTTACTAAAAAGAGTAAATAACAACAAAATCCTCATTAACTAATTCTTTTCACCCTTGAATACATCTGTAGAGATTACTTCCGATATTAAAGAGGTATTTGCCAAAAATCAGAAGCTGATCTGGAAACCGCATTTTCTACATAAGCAAGACTGAACAAGTTATAAACCAAAATACTATCATGAAGATAGCTGCTAGAAGATGCACTATTTCTGGGGAAAAGAAGTTAGTGATTGCTACCCTCTCTCTTCCTCTCGTCATATAGCTGATGTGTACTACATTTAAAAAACAAACAAAAAAAACCCCCCAAACCTTGTAAACTTAATTTTTTAAAACTGAAGTTCAATTGAAAATAAAACAGTACAAGTTAATATCAAAATTATATTATTTGGGTACGTTGGTGAGAGCTATGAAGCATTAAGTTTTAACACAATACTCTGAAAATAAATTGAATTTTAAAGTTAAATGAGAAACAAGACTTATATAAGCATCATTTTGGTTAGAGGTTAAGAAGACGGTTAATTCTGCTCTTGCTATTGATATTCAGGAATTCTAGTGCACATTAACCCGGTTAATTTGTGTCATATGCATGTTATTCAGAGCCCCAGAAAAAAACAGAAGGTTGTATTTCTGCCATGTTACCTCCTGGTCCTTTACTGAAATTGCTTAATTTGAAAAAACTGGATGGACAGCGTTCAACTTGAAAATTAGACATACATGAGAGTATAATGATGTAAATGATTAAAAACTACTGTAATTGAAGAAAGCTTGCAAAAAAAAAAAAACAAAACAGTGCTTCTGGTACTATTTTTTCCTCACAATACTTGCATTCTGACCACTAGGTGCTGAATAACTTGAGTCTACTGCTTTCCTAAGCACCACTGATGAGATTTCACAGCTATAGGGAAGAAAAAAGCCATGTCTCTGGTTCTGGTGACATATTTCAAAGTTTTATTACTTTATTCCAAATTTATAAAGGATGTATATCGAGAAAAAAAGAAGTCTGAACTCATGACATCTACTTAACTGATAAGCCTTGACAGCAAATGTCTACTAAAACAAAAACTTTAGTCAGCATTAGACAGCAGCAATAGCTATTGCAAAGGAAAAAAGAAATCAAATGTTTGAAATCTTATTAACAGAAAATAAATACAAGCAATCATTCTGTACAAAGCAAACAATGCTGTTAATCACAACTAATCAGTACAGCATGAATAAAGACACAAAGCACAAAAAACGTAATGATTTTTTAAAATTCAAAGACCATGAAGCTTTTAATTGAAGCAAAAAGCAACTCATTTGAAGAAAAAAAATAATTGATATTGCAGGCACCCTACCTTTCTTTTTGCCTGTGAAATACCCTAAAAGTCAGGGAGAAGATACTATTCAAAAAGAGTCTTTCATTCAAAAATATTTGACTTAACAAAAAAGACTTCTTTTCTTAAAGCTAGTCCATTTTTTCATTTTAAGAACTATAGACACTGATACTTAGCACTTTCATGAAGAAAAAAAATAATTGATATTGCAGGCACCCTACCTTTCTTTTTGCCTGTGAAATACCCTAAAAGTCAGGGAGAAGATACTATTCAAAAAGAGTCTTTCATTCAAAAATATTTGACTTAACAAAAAAGACTTCTTTTCTTAAAGCTAGTCCATTTTTTCATTTTAAGAACTATAGACACTGATACTTAGCACTTTCAGACAACAGAAATCATTTGGCTTCTGGGTTTTTTCTGTTTCACCAAAAAGAGACACAGAATATTCCCAAGATTATGATACTTCATAGATATCATTTCAACTTGAAATTTACCGTGATTTTAGGAAATCAGGCTAAGCACAACATTGAAGTATTTTTTATTTCTAAAACTGAAAAAAAGCTGTCAAATGGAGTCATACTAATTACAGGAATTTTCTTACCAGAATTACAGACCACAGATTACATAAGTACTTAAGGAAGTTACAGATGATATTCTACATTCTAAGAAGAAACTAAGTAGAGACAAATAAATAAAAGCATTCAAAATAAAATGTACTCAGTAACACGTCGCTGATGGCAACGAGATCCATAGAAGCCTAAAATATACAACCTTTTTAAAGGTGATAATTTGAAATTACTTTTATCTGAGTCTTCAAAATCATCCACTGCTTCTAATGAATGTCTTACACAGTTTTTACACAATTTTGTTAATTTTCATTCAGCTAAAATGAGAGGTTCACTAAACTCAGGCAATCAGACAAGAAAGCTTTACCTGAGAAAGATATCGCCTATAATCTTGTCGAAGTTCCTCTCTGAGTTTATGTTTTTTTCGTTCATATTCTTCTCCAAGAGGTAAACTCAAGCCATAGTCACCTGAAAGTTTAACACCATTAAATATTATTCTACTATTTTGTATCATTATAAAGCACATCTTGCAAAAGCCACATGTGGATTTTTATTAAAAAAAAAGCAGGAAAAAAAAAGTTATCTACGCAACCAGTAATTACAAGCCCACTGAAATAAAAAACATCTTTCTCTGTATGAACAGCTGCATGGAAAGCATAGAAAAATGTTTGGATGCTAGTATTCTTTTAGGTTTTGGATGCTAGTATTCTTTTAGTCTTTGAGCTTTTACTCCTCACTAGAAAAAAAATGAAACATAAACTGAATTTATTTGGATGGTTTGACAAGTAGCGTAAAATAACATAAAAACTGCATGTATTCCTTTTGTCAATGTGACAGTTTCTAAACTACTCTGATATTTTAACCTCTGCTTACCACACAATAGAAAACATACTTTGCAATTAGAAAGCAACAAGCTACTTGTCTAGCACGAACACGTGGAAAATATGATGGCTTCCATACAACTATAAGGAATCTGACCATATGATAATAGTAACTTTTTCCTTCGACCTCAGTGGTTTTAGTTGATGTAAACACAAACCACACATTTATTATTTTTACAAGATTACTGTCGGGTCTCATAACAGTTGCACCCAAATTACATTTTAAAGTACTTTATAAGAAACATCATTTCCCCTACAAGGCCACCTCTGTAGCCACTTTCACTACTCTCCACAGAGAGCTAGTGAACTCTCCAAAACCACACAGTAAGAGACATAAATTGCCACTGTTTGGCTTTTTTATTCCCTACTGTTTCTCCGGAAGCATTTCTACATCTTGTGGTCTACACAAAAATGAGTAGCAAAGAGTAAGAGGAAAGAGAGGGATATTCAAGATTTACTCTTACATCAGTCCCAAATTATCGCATAGTACTTTGACACCAGTATTTTAAATGTTTAAGGCGTTAATTGGTGTCTGTACAGTAAAATGACATTATATAAATGGTGAAAATAGCAAATTAGGGGATCACTCTGTTACTGAAACAGACAAAAGACTGAAATATACTTAGTAAAAAACTACTCAGCTGGCCTGGCTTGAAATAGTTTCAGTTAAGTCAGAATGAATCATAGAATGTCTTAGGTTGGAAGG